TGATGAGTGCTGCTGTGTCCTGGGTGCTGGTCCTTGAATCAATCCTGCAGTCCCTTGTAGTCCTACTGTAGACCGACAGGCTCTTTCAGAGAAATGGACTTGGACATAGATTGTTTCTTCTCCTGTGCAACAGTGTCTGTCCTCAAATGGTCATGATCATGACAGAAGAAATGAGTTGAGTGTGACTGTCTCACACATGAATCCCATTCCTTAGGGTGAAACTTGAACACACTGTCCTGTATTCAAGGATCACTGAGGGCAGAGGTATCCTACAAGCACTTCTGAATGAGTTTTTGGGTGTTTTATATGATTTTATGTTACTCAGAACCTCAGATATAAAGCAAACCCTATACCCCTGACCATGTCTCTGGTACAGTTGCATGCTGGATGTCATCTTTAAAAAAATTTCTTGCTTATACACACTTATTATTAGGGATAATTAAAAATATGACAACTCCAAATCTATCTCTGCTAGCCACACCTTGATTCCTCCACACACCCTGAAACTGCTTTGAAAAACAGACTGGGCCCTAATCGGGAAAACCAACAAGGCATCCTCATGGTTTCAAATTTCAGTCTATTTCATCTTTGGGAAGGATGTCATTATGACACCAGAGTATCAACCATCCCATGGAGCCCACAAATAGTAAAGAAGGGAGGCTGTTGCCTCAGTCCTGAGTTCTGAATATTTATTTCCTTCGCCCCTCACATGGATTGGCTTTCAGTGCACAGACTTCAATCAGTGACCAGACTCAGCCTCTCAGGATCCTCTCCTTGGTAACATCATCTTCCTAGTCCCTTCTTCCTCTTCTAGCCCTGTCAGCATCACTGACAATCCTTGGTGTGCTACAACCTGGTTCCCCAGTGCTATGTGCAGAGCACAATTCAGGACTCCTTCCAAAGTTCTGTATGTTGGTCCAACAGCACTGGCTACTGCTGTGTCCTGGTTCCATGAAAAGATTTCACCGTAGTTCTGAATCCTGCACCCTTACCCATGCCTAAGTACTCTTAGGCATCTTGACATCTTCCAAAGTAATTCCTCTTATATAAACACAGCTGTCCTGTGCGTCATTAAGTTTCTCAGCAAATCTGTGTCAGGAGTGTCTGCTTCCAAGACAAATGCAGGAAAAGTTTCCTAGCATGAGCTTAGCTTCTGCACTAGAAATTGAAAGTAAAAATCCCAGCAATTAGCACATCCTCTCTTGTCTATATGCATCTTCTGATCATTCCTAACACACCATCTCCTCACCTTTCCAACTTGTCCTTTAGTCCACCAATTTCAGAGCATTTCCACAGTGTGTACAAGTCACTGAGTCCTCACCAATCCTTCAGAACTCTTCTGTTTGTTTATCATTTCCACCAATAATGACGACATTTATACTTTAAACATATAGAAGAGGAAGGAAGGAAGGAAGGAAGGGAGGAAGGGAGGGAGGGAGAGATGGAGGAAGAGAAAAGAAAGAAAGTGGAGTGTGATCCTAATTGATCTTAATCAATAAAAATCTCAAGTCAGATATTAGTGTGAAAGCTGAAAGATCAGAGACGCAGAGCAGCTTTCCTCTTTCCTCTACTAAATCTAAAACCAAATGGGGGTCCTGTCTCTATGAATCCTCAGACTGAATGGGTGGGGGTCCTGTCTCTATGAATCCTCAGACTGAATGGGTGGGGGTCCTGTCTCTATGAATCCTCAGACTGAATGGGTGGGGGTCCTGTCTCTATGAATCCTCAGACTGAATGGGTGGGGGTCCTGTCTCTATGAATCCTCAGACTGAATGGGTGGGGGTCCTGTCTCTATGAATCCTCAGACTGAATGGGCTTTAAATCCTATCTCCACCTCCCTAGTGCCGGGGATAAATGTCTGCCTCCCAAGTACTTCACCAAAGGCGTGAGCTCCCAAGTGCTGGGGTCAATGGTGTGCAGCACCACTGCTTGGCCCCTAGTTAACAAGTGGCTAGCTAGCCCTCTGATCTCCAGGCAAGCTTTAATTGTCAGAGCCAAAAAAATAAAGAAAGAAAGAAAGAAAGAAAGAAAGAAAGAAAGAAAGAAAGGGAAAGAAGGAAGGGGAGGAGGGAGAAAGAAAGGGAGGAAGGGAAGCAGGAAGGACTACAGAAGTGACTGCAGCAGCAGTCTGCACACATGCGCACCAAAGACAGCTTTCCCGTCAGCAGACAACCTAAAGTTCAAGGCCCCCTCAAGTCTTCAGAATGTACCTTGATTAAACTAAGTCCCAGGGTGTTTCCATGTGAGGGAACTGGTGTCCTCAAATGGATCATATTCTGGGGTGTGTGCAGATTGAGCGCTAGTTTGTGTGTGGGAATGTTTGTGAGTGGGATTGCATTTGAATTCAGGTACACAGCAAATTAGATTTTCCTCTTCTGTGACTGGGCATCAGGTAAGCCAATGAGAACCTGAGCCCATCAGCTACCTAGGTCTCCAGCAGAGAAGGAGAGAGAGAGAGAGAGAGAGAGAGAGAGAGAGAGAGAGAGATCGTTTGCAGCCTTATCCATGAAAGCTAATTTATGGCTTCAATTCATGTGCCTCATGATTTAGACAAATAAAGAAATTTGCCTGTTTTGTGTTAAGAAAGGTTTTCTCTGTGTAGCCCTGGCTAAGGCTATCCTGGTACTCACTCACTGTACAGACTGACTGGTCTTGAAATCTGTGATGCACCTGCCTCAGCCTCCTGAGTGCTGGAATTAAAAGCACCTACCACCATGACTGCCTGCTTTTTGCCTTTTTAGTATTGTTTTGAGACTTGTTTTCATTATGTTGCCAAGGCTGGCTCAGAACTCACATGTCTCCTGTCTCAGCCTCCTAAATGTTGGGTCAGCACCCTGACTTGGTTGCTACTTGTCATTTTACTTATCATTGCATGAGGAAATATTTAGAAGCTTCAGTTAGGTCCTTCCATGTGTACAGTTGGCCAATGTGTGCAGACGTACTAGAGCTGTGTGGGCTGGGAGTTTTTATTTTTTACAGTAAAAATAGGAGTTTTTACATGATTAATCATTTGATGTATTAGAGGTGAAATACAAATTATCCCAAAAACAATGTACATTTATACTCCAACAACTTGTTAGAGATTAACCATGTAGGCAAGCAAGACATTCTTCCCCATCAGGTCTTTATTGACAAGCTGTATTTTGCAGTTACAAAGAAAGGACCAATCACTTTGTTGCTTATTTTGAGAGATAATCTTTTGAGGGCTCTTAAAGAAATCACAAATCTAAACTTTTTTAAAAAAATATTTTTTAAAAGCTGCCTTTTTCATTTTATGTGCGAAATCCATCCCTCACTTCCTCTCCTTCTCCTGCTATTTCCACCCCCCACCTTCCATCCCACCCACCATCCACTCCTCAGAGAGAGTAAGACATCCCATGGGGAGTCAACAAAGTCTAGCACATTGCCTTGAGACAGAAACAAGGCCCTCCCCCTATGTCTAGGCTGAGCAAGGTATCCCTCCAGAGAGAATGGTTTCCAAAAAGCCAGAACAAATGGTAGAGATAAATCCTGGTCTCAGTGCCAGTGGCCCCACAGTCTGCCCTGGGCTGGTGAGTTTTAAATTTTAAATTTACATAACCTCGAATTACCCAAGGTGGGAGTCTCAATTAAAGATTGCTTGATTGGATTGGCTTGTGGGTCTGTCTGTGGGGGTTGTCTTGATGGTTAAGCGAGGTGGGAAGACCGGCCCTGACCATGAGCGGTTCCCTTTCATGTGCTGGGTCCTAGCTGTGTAAGAAAGAAAAAAGCTAACCGAGAGCCACAGCAAGCAGACAGCATGGGTGCATTCGTTTCTCTCTGCCCTTGACCTGACGTGGCGTGGTGAGCTGTCTACCCTGCTACTGCTGCGACTCCCTGCAGTCATGGACTGCAACCTAGGTTGTGAGCCAGATAAACCCCCTCCTCCTCTGCGTCTCTCTTCATCTGGGTGTTTATCCCGGCCACAGAAATGAAACGAGAGGCTGGGTGGGCATTGTATCAAGTAACAAGGACTCCATGTAAGCAACTACGGTGACCAAGACCTTGACCTTTAGGAGTCTGGCCTTCCAGAACTGTGCCCATGTCTACTAAGGGTTTCTATTGGTGTGAGAAACATGCCCCAAACAAATTGGGAAAGAAAGGGTTCATTTTAGCTTACAGCTTGCAGTGTGTCATCCAGGGTAGTTAGGGCAAGGAGGTAGGAATTAAGAAAACGAATCAAAAGACAAACATTTTGGGGTAATTCAGAAAAACTCTATTATGAACACGGCAGCACTTGACTCAGTACGCTAGCTTTTCTTCCTTTCTGCTGCTGGCTACTGAGTTCAGGGTCTCACACATGCTAGACAAGTGCTCTTCCACTGAACTGTCGTCCCAGCCCGTGCTGTTTATTTACAGGAATGATTGAGCAGGAGGGATTCTGCCAAGCTGGATTTAACAGCGCTCTTCTTATCAGTGTTACAGCCAGGAGAGAGAGCAGCTGCTCCATGGCCGCTTGGTCCTAGCAGCCCTGCGTCCTCTGGAACTTCAGCTGGAGAAAGGGACGTAGCTGGCACTCCTTTCCAGGAAGTGTTGGTCTTGTGCTCCTGAGAACAACTTCATATAAAGTTGGTAAGTTCTAATTGGGAACAATTATGTTTTCTAGCAGCTTTCCTCTTGGAGATAGGGTCTAACGGAGCCCATGCTGGCTTGGAACCAGTTTTGTAGCTGTGGATGGACTTAAGTATCTGATCCTTCTGCTTCCACCTTCCAAGTGCTGGGAACAAAGGCCTTTGCTGCTGGAATTGTTTTGTGTAGTGAGGCTGGGGGTGAAAGCCTGGGCCTCAGACATCCTAGGAGCACAGGCTATGGACTGACATCGGTATGGAGTGCATGTCTGTGTTACTGAGGTCTCAGCTGAGAGGGCCTCTGGAAAGGCTGTTGTTGATCAGCTTTAGTCAGCTTCACTACGTTCAAGTGGGCTGCGAGCCAACAGTTCCCTGAAACTCCTGTTTATTCAATCAGTGATCTGGAGGAGAGTTCTAAAGTCCAGTATTCTCATCCTTGCAGCAAGGATTCAGAGATGAAAGATAAAAATGCAGGTTAGATTGTCTTTACTGCTGAAAGTGTGGATCTGTCTTTCTTTGAGACAAGGTCTCGCTGTGTGGCTCCAGCTGGCCTAGAACTTGCCTAGGAGACCAGGCTGGCCTTAGAGTCAGAGATTCACGTGTCTTTGCCTTGAGAGTTCTGGGTCTACAGGTGTGGGCACCATCAGCCTGCGGGTCTGTTCTCACAGTTCTGCAGTGCCATGAGGCTTGCCACAGTCCTTGTCTTCTGCTCTTTGTTCATGGGAGTCAGTGGTGATGGCTGGTATTCGTTCTTCAAGGAGGCCATACAAGGTAAGAAGTAAAGGTGATGGGCACAGTTAACTGTTCCAGGACTCACGCTGAGCAGAGGCCACATTGCTGTCCAGTGCAGGTTCGCATTTAAAACCTAGAAAGGAGTCAGGGAAGGACTGTGGCTTTATGTGGCTTCCTGACTCTACACTGGTCACTTGGCACCTTCTGAGGGATCCTCAGACAGGGCCACAAGGTCCATTCTGTATTGCTGATACTGATCCAGAGGAGTCGGGACTTCCAGAGAGCAAATTCACAGACTGCAAATTTACCAGAGTTGGAATGTAAGTGAGCACTCAGTATGTCCTAGAGACACATGCACTTAGTAAATGTGCACAAACCTGCAGATAGAGCCTTCTACACAGTTCCCTTCCTTTTCTAGACAACAACCAAGAACAAGGATGGAGGACTCCTGGACACTCAACATTGCAAGTCCTCGTGTTTTTCAATACCGCAGTTTACTTATGTATTCTACACTGGTCACCCCGCCATGTGTTCTCCTCAAACTGGGAGACAAAATACCACCCAGTTCCCTAAGCTGCTTGTCAGGGATTTCGTCACCACCATGAGAAAAGTAGTTAATACACATTATTGGTTGTGTTTTTCTTAGTGGCCATGGTTAAAATACATTCTCCATCTCTTCTTGTGGCACAATCTGTCGCTGGATCTTACCTGTATGATGTCAATGTCACCTCTTGGTTCTCTTACGTGACAGGTCCACCCCTACATTGTGTAGCACACACAGATCTATATGACACCCAGCCAGGACTCATCATCTCTCAATCAGTCCAGGCCAAAATAATCCTTGGAGCAGTGCCCTGCTTATGAACACCATGGAAGACATCCCAGGGACATACACTCGCCCCCATGGACATTTCAAAGAATTAAGCTGTCAGGGATGAAATGTGGAAATCCACAGAAAGTTTGCATTCCTCCACTTCTCCAATGACCCCAGGCTGACCTTTGTAATTTTCCTTTCTTTATAGGGACTTGGGACTTGTGGAGAGCCTATCGGGACAATGTAGAAGCCAATTATCCAAACTCAGACAGATACTTTTCTGCTCGAGGAAATTTTGAGGCTCAACAGAGGGGAGCTGGAGGCATCTGGGCTGCTAAAATAATCAGGTAATGGTCCTGCTGCTTCTTCATGCCTCTCACTGTTCCTACCTGTGGCCTCTCCCACTGTCTGTGCTTGCAGGGTCTGGGTGGTCTGGAGAGCAAGAAAGGGAGGGAAAGGATGGAGAGTGGGGATGGATAACACCCACAACAAAACGCTGAACACCAAGATGCGGTCTCAAATCCATCTTGTCACAGGGTGTGAAAAGGACAAGCAGGCTGAGGCCCTTCCCCAAGGGACTGATATTTCCTCTTTCCTGTGGCTAAGTTTTTCCTCCTCCAGTATTTTCTTAGTCATTCCTTGATAGGTGAGGAGGAGGGACCTTTGAGGTGGGGCTGTCTCACTCTGGCATTCATATCCTGTCTCCCTTCCTTGGATTTCAGCACCAGCAAGAAATACTTTCAAGGCCTCCTAAACCGGTATTATTTTGGAATGAAAAACTTTGGACTGGAAAGCCTGGAGTCTACCAAGAAAGCCGAGGAATGGGGCCGAAGTGGCAAGAACCCTAATTACTTCAGACCCAATGGCCTCCCTGAGAAGTTCTGAGCCTCCTACACAGGCTGCCCTGAGGGGACTAGGCCATAAGACATATTCCCCTCCACATGACAGTATGTCCTTGTTCTCGGTGTCCACAGGATCCACAGAGAATCTAGAGATAGCCAACAAGTACTTTGCGAATGGAATTTGTTGATGGATATTGGGAACTCTCAGAAATATTTTCTGCGAAGAATTGCTATGTATCATCACACAGAAAACAAGTAGAGGAAGAGCTGTGACTGGGCCCCAGTCTAAAGCCAGGCAGGCCCCTCACACAGCCCCAGCCAATCTGCTCCAGCTATTAACCCTATCAGCTTCCCCTGTCAAGCAGACTTTGCTAGCAAAGCACTGCCAACCTAGTCAGGCTTCTCTGCAAGCAAAATTTGCTCTCAATGTGCTCTGGTCTGCTGACCACCAGTTTCCTCCTTGATATAGATCAGATGTGTGTCCCAACCCCCAACATCTTCTGGTCATACCTGGGCCTCTCTGTTTTTGTCATGGTTGTTCCCAGGCTTTTCTGTGTAGTGATGCCACTCTGCCTTATCAGTCACATGCTGTGCATGGTCTGACTCCAGACCTTGTCACTTGTGGCCCCTTCTCATATAGAGAAGAAACTGCTTTGAGAAAGCCTCATCCTACCCTAGGAATCCTATCCTAGACACTGCACTGAGGACCACAGGTAGATCCCAGTTTAGGAGTGCCTGCATAACGCGCATGAATCCCTAGAGATATCCCTAGAGCTGTAAAAACCTGGTGATGGTACACACTTATATTCCTGGCACTGGGGTTGGTAGAGGCTCACCGACCAGAAGCTCAAGGCCAGCCCTGGTTGTATTGTAAGTTGAGGCTAGCCTGGGATATATGATACCCTGTGTCACAATAAGGCACACACACACACACACACACACACACACACACACACACACACACTGTTTTCTCACAGGGAAGGTTATCAGAAACACACCATGTAGAGGTGAAAAATCAAAGCCTGAAAGATGCACACTTATGTACACACTGGCAAGAAAAACATGGTTCCAATTCGACTAAGATAATGGGTTCTTATCATTCAGATCCTTTATATTACACTCAATGAAAATATATCTTATTAATATAATGGGTCTGTCTTAGTTGTTTTTGAGTATGTTCAAAAAGAAAGTGTGTGTGTGTGTGTGTGTGTGTGCATGTGCGTGTGAAAGCATGCCTGACAAAGCTAGAGGAACAGACTAAAATTTAGTTTTCTTTCCCCTCACTGTTTATTATTTCTTTGAGAATTTCCAATAATTTAATTTATCCTATCATTCCATCCTGACTGGCCTTTTCTCAATTGGCACAAGCTAGAATTACCTGGGAATTGGGACCTCAATAGAGAAGTGAGTCTCTCTCTCTCTCTCTCTCTCTCTCTCTCTCTCTCTCTTTCTTTCAAAGCAAATTCTCACTATGTAACCCTGGTTGGCTTAGGACTGACTGTATAGATAAGGTTGTCTCTAAACTCACAAATTCCTGCATGCTGGGATTAAAGTGCGGGTCATTTTGCCTTGTGTTGTAGGGCATTCTCTTGATTAATGGTTGGTGTCAGAGGTCATAGGCCCCTGGGACAGTGTGGTCCTTTGGCAGGCCATACTGGGTTGCATAGGAAAGCGGGGCTGAGCAGGGCAGTGGTGCTGCACGCATTAATTCCAGCCCCAGGAGGCAGCAACAGGTGGATCTCTGTGTCCAAGGCTAGAATGGTCTACAGAGTGAGTTCTAGGACAGCCAGGTCTCCACAGAGAAACCCTATCTTGAAAACAAAAGCAAAAAACAAAGACAGACAGATAGAAAGTGGGCTGAACAAGTTGTAGAGAATAATCTGGTAAGTAGCATTCTTCCATGGCCTCTGATGCCAAGTTATTACCTCGAGTTCTTGCCTTAGTTTCCCCTGAGGATAAACTGTATGTAACCTACAAACCATGTAAACTCTCTCCTCCACAAGCTACTTTTGGTCATTGTTTTAGTTACTTTTCTATTGCTGTGATGAAACACCATAACCAAGACAAATTATAGAAGAAAGCATTTAATTGGGGGCTCACTTACAGTTCAGAGGGTGAGTCTTATCGCAGTGTGGAACCCGGCGCAGGCTGACCATCACGGTGCTGGAGAAATAGGCTAGAGCTTACTTGTTAAGATGAGAGAGAGAGAGAGAGAGAGAGAGAGAGAGAGAGAGAGAGAGAGAACGCACAGAGTGCACTTACTGGGAATGGTGTGTGGGCTTTTGAAATATCAAAGCCCACCCAACAGTGACACACCTTGTCCAACAAAGCCACATCTCCTAACACTTCCCAAACAGTTCTACCAACTGTGGACCAAGCATTCAGGTCTATGGGACCGATTTCATTCAGGCCACCCCAGTCATGGTGTTTATTACAGCAATAGAAAACTCATTAATTCTCTTCCCCCCAACTCCTCCCAGGCCCACCCAGCCTTCTCTACCAACCCACCTTTGTGTTTTCTTGAATTATTTTAATCCACCAAGCCCAATTTGTTCTGCTCATACACACTTGAGTGTGTCGCCATTCACTGCAGCATGGCTGACTTAGTAGGGCCTGAACCCTTAAAAGAAAAGCCACTCTTCCTCTCCCAGTGGCTATCAATTGCTATTAGCTCCTCGGCTAGGGGTGACTTTGTGTCTCTCCTCTCTCCAAGTGGAGATTTTGTTTGGTCTGAGCGTGTGCCGATACTGAGCATGCTGTCACTACCGCTACTCTGTGAGTCCATACGTGCAAGTAGGGCTGTGTCTGGAAAAGAGCTTCCTTGCAGTCAGGCACCATGTCTGGATCTTGCAGTCTTTCTGCCTCCTCTTTTGCAATGGTCTCTGAGCCTTGGGGGAAGAGGGTGTGAGACAGATGTACCAAGTGCAAAGGAACATAGTTTGAAGAATGACATGTGCTACCGAAACAGAGCCAGTTTAGAGTGCTGGCTCAGCAGGCTTCACCACCACGTGCCTTTGTTTTCCCTGACACTACTTTGACTGTGAAGCTAAAATTCTCTTCTCTGTTCATAACACTGGGTCACGGGTGGCTATGGAAAGTCCCTGCAGTCCAGTGGCAGGTCTGCTGTAAGGTGCCCCTCCCACACTATGAGCTAGTTGGCTGTTGGGACACTTGGGGGAGTGAGGGCTCTGGGTCTCCCGTGCAAGGGACTTGGAGGTGTCTTGCCACCAGGCCTCCCAGTCTTAGGACTTAGGGGAATGTCGTAGGGAGGGGATGTTGCCAGGGCCTCAGTGGAGTCTGGGGTACTCCTATTCTCGCCTGACCTGGGAGTCTCTGCAGAAATGTGTGCATGGCTGCTCCTGAGAGGAATTTTACCTTCCCACCGTGCCCTCAGCAATGGAGGTCACTCCTGGAAAGAGAAGCAGCTGCATCACTGCTCCCGGGCTAAGGTGTTGATCCCTTCACCATGCCAATGTCTTCACTCGAAACCCAGTGGTCTTCCAACCCGAGTGAACAATGGCAGAGATGAACAGAGCATCGCCCTATCTGCCTGGCACACTACCCCCCTCACCACGCTCCTGTGTGTCAGGCAGGGCATGGCGTCTGCTAGCCGGCTGCTTTGTGACCTCTATGTAACTTCCTGGGGGCTGAGGAAGTTTGTCCTCCTTTTCTGGGCTCGTGAACGCCCATGAAGAGATCCAGCTACACAACTACCTTTTTCCTCACAGGACAGCTCGACTCTGTCAGCTACTGAAAGTCCCTGCAGTCCCTGTTCAACTCAAATGGCAGGTCGGTCTAAGACACCCCATAAGCATTGTGGGCTAGCTCCCCCTCCACTCCCTCAGTCCTTTCCATATGCACGAAGCAGGAGTGAGAGGTAAGGAGAGGTTGGGGCTGAGAGCCTGTGTTCCTGCCTCCTCTCAGACCTTGGAGTTCTGGGGCTGGCTCAACTTCTTGTATTAATTCTCTAGGATGTGGGCCAATCAGAGCCTCTTTGTCCTCTCAGCTGTAGGCAACAAGGAAAAGGGGCTCATCAGCAGAACTACAAACTTGGCTGCTAAAGAAGACATTACATAATTCTTAAACTTCCCAGGTTCACATTTTGAAATTTCTAGTTAGGAAGAATTCAGGCTCACACTCAGAGGACATTTTGTGCTACATCTAGACACAAGTTCATTATCTGTGGAGTCCTTCCAAACTTGCAGGCAAGAACTCAATGCTGTGGAGTACTCTATGGGAAATGCAGGTTACGCCCATTTACAGTAAGTTGGTGTTGGGTCTGCTGTGGGATGCTCCTGCATGTGCTGGAGTGATGCAATGACTGTGCACCCATCTGTGTTTATTCCAAAATAAACATTTCTCTTCTTCTCTCAAACATTTGCAGTCCTTTAAAATTCCCTTCCAGTTTCACCTTTAAGTAAATAAGCTTGCAGAACGCACTCATCTCTCTGTATTTATTCACTACCCGGTAAAGGAACCAAGAGAGGTGTCTGAATGATAGCAATACAAGGCAGACAGCAGCCTTCTCCTGAGATCCCATCCCATGAAGACACATAAATGAACCAAGGGCAACTTTGTGTGATAATAAAATGAACAATAAAGAAAAGCATCCCTGGACATACTTATCCACCCATCCCCCAACACTCAGGCATAGGGGCCGAAAGAAAGGGAGAGGTGAAGGTGACTTGCAGGACAGAGTGATTTCCACACGTATGACAGGGCAGTTGCACAGAAGAACTCACAGCCATCATGACAGCGTGAACAAAACCTGTGCAAGCTCAAAGCAGACAAAATCCCAGCACGGAGAGGGCTAGGTGGACATGAAATCCATCCCTAACTCTGAACCCATTGGCATTTGATTGCTTCTAGGAGAGGAAGGTTTTAATGCTATGACCCCTTGTTGATCACCCCCTCTAGGGAGACCCCATTCCCCAGGATAGTTGTCTCATAAGAACTAGACTTGATGAAGGGGCAAAGAAGAGATCTTTAAGTCAGGTGGGTATGGAGGTGAGAGTGGAGTTGTGGATGAGGGGTTAATATGATAAGAACACACTGGATAAAATCCTCAGGGAGTTATTTAAACTGTTAATAAAGAACAAGTTCATATGAAGAGCTCTTCTTACTGACAAAGTCAGCTAGGGTTTCTGGATTGGGGGGACGCTAAGGCTAAGGAAATATCAGATGAAAGGAACTGAGACAGAAACACAGGATAGCATTGGGAGGTCTGTTTGGTCATGCTGAAACCGCCAAACAGCCCAGAGTTTATTCCAGGACTAGCTTATAAGCAAAGGCAGAAAACTGCACAGCACAGACGGTCAGTCAGTATCTAAGCACAAGACCATTCTGGTCCTTGAGTGAGCAGCCTCCTCTCAGTAAGTAAGGCTCAGAAGCAGCCTTACTTTCTATCCTGATGTTCCTAAGGTTTGGCATCGGCCGTACTCTTTCTAGTAGATAGAATGCTCTTTTCTCATGGGCAAAATGCTCTTTCCCATGGGCTAAATCAGGAGTCTCTAACCGTTCTCAATATTATTGGAAAAAGCAGAGCCGGCAAGCTTTAACTCGAATGACTCATGAGTCAGAATCAACTCCAGATGGAAACTGAGTCATATGTGAACTACCATAAACACCTAGTGCTGCTTCTCCATCTCCAACAGCTATTTCCTGATGTTTTCTCCCAGCATTCCTGTTCTGTGCTTTGCCACTTTCTGCCTGAACCCCTGTATTAACAACCTGTGGGCTCTGCTCATGCCTGCTTATGGTGTCTTAGTTCTTCATGACTTTGAAGCAAATTCCTGTACTGTTGTTTTGTGTTCCTGGCTTATCACAGTATCTGAATTAATCTGCTTTATTATCTTTCTTAGCGACTGCTCATGAATAAGCACACTTGAGTCTGGAGAAGTCCTTTCCCAGTGTTGAGTTCACCCCTGTGGATTTCAAATGTCAATTTCTTCTGTTCTTTCTCCTATTTAAGAGCTTAATTTTGAACTATAGTTTGAAAGGACATAATCTCAGGTTTTGGATTTGGCATGCACCCCCATTATTATTATATATTCAGATTTCTTTTTCCAATATTAATGTTCATTCCTTAGACACTGGCCCCGCATGATTTGATGGGAAGTGCTTACCTTGATTATTTCCAGTCAGGATG